CCCGGCCCGGGGGAGAGCGGAGCGGAGCGGAACGGCGACTGTGAGCCCGGCAAGGACACCCCAAGGGCGAAACGGGCTCCCCGCCGCCATGGCCTCGTCCAAACCGCTGTCCCGGTTCTGGGAGTGGGGCAGGAACATCGTCTGCGTGGGACGCAACTATGCCGAACACGCCAAGGAGATGGGCAGCGCCCTGCCCGCCGAGCCGCTCTTCTTCCTCAAGCCGTCCTCGGCCTATGTGCGGGAAGGGTCGCCCATTCTCCGGCCCTACTACTGCAGCAACCTGCACCACGAAGTGGAGCTGGGAGTGGTCATCGGGAAGAGAGCACGGGCTGTATCGCAGGAGGCCGCGATGGAGCACGTGGCGGGATATGCCTTGTGCTTGGATATGACGGCCAGGGATACCCAGGAAGAGTGCAAAAAGAAGGGGCTACCCTGGACCTTGGCTAAGGGTTTTGGCTCGTCGTGCCCAGTCAGTGACTTTGTGCCCAAGGAGAAGATCCCTGACCCTCATAAGCTGCAGATCTGGCTCAAGGTGAATGGAAAGCTGAGGCAGGAGGGAGATACCTCCTCCATGATCTTCTCCATCCCTTATCTCATCAGCTACATCAGTGAAATATTCACCCTGGAAGAAGGGGACTTGATCCTGACAGGATCTCCCAAAGGAGTGGGGTCTGTGGAGGCCAATGATGAGATCGAGGCTGGGATCAGGGATGTCCTCTCCATGCGGTTCAAGGTGGCACAGCAGACACATAGGTCCTAACCAGAAGCCTAGTGCGACCAGGCTCTTTGGGGAACATCTAGTGAAGGAACACCCAAGCACCTGATGGGCTGTCATGCATCAAAGACCCACGAGGCCAAAAGGCATTTGACTGGAACAGCCTCATCTCATGGAGGCTTCAGCCTTGTTTCCATGGAGGCTTCAGCTTCCTCCAAAGGAAGGAAATCTGGAGTCAGGAAACCTCCGGCAAACCTGGAGTCAGCCCAGCTTGGAGGTTAATACCAAACCCATACCTGGGAATTGCCAATGGATACGGTGTGTCGGATCTGGGAGGGAGGCAGGGCTGGTTGTCACTCTGTGTGCTTCTCTGCTGATGATGCTTTGAGCTTTGCCATTGTATTGCCTTGAAATTAAAATCATTGATTAAACAATTGAAATGGTGCTGTAAGAGCTGAAGCTCCATGCTAGGACAATCGAAGGTGTGTAACAGGAGATGGAGAATTGCAGCTTCACAAGGAGTTTCTCTCCTTGGGGTATTCTGCAAGAGAAAGATGTTTGCTTTGTTGATTAGCCTCATGATTCTCCCTGTTTTTCAAGCATGCAAATGAAATGAGGATTGCTTTTCCTCCCACTCCAAGGAGCAAATGCAGCAGGAAGTGTGCCAAATGCTTGGCAGATTGGTTTTACCCTGAACTGAGCTTTAAATATGTTCTAAAAGTGAAATAATACAAAAGATGGAGAATAAAGCAGCTCATGGGTGAAGATCATCAGTAAATTCATCTTTACTTTTCCTGCTTTAGATAAGTGTTTTATAAAAAGAACTGCAGCAATTGCTGTTACTCACACTGCAGCACAGCAGAGTTTTTAAGTATTCCCAGCTGACTCTGTGACTTTCCCCAGTCCCATACTCCAGCTGATCTAACACTCCCCACCAGTCTGCATGACAGTGAGTTCTCTTAATTCCATGTAGTGACAGAAGTTGTAAAGTATAATTTAAAAAAACCTTCTCCACAAACATCAGAACTTCCCATTTTCAAAGGCTGCACAGAACTGCCTCATTTCTAACAAAACCAGATGGATTATTCCTTTACATACATGCAAGCACCAAAGTGAAATGGTTCCACTTACTGCGTCAGATCTTAATAACCACTAGGAAATTATTTGGTTTTAAAAGTGAGGAATTTTATGGAGAAAATCCCTGTCTCCCAAGTCAAGCAGCTCTGTGGCATGGTCCATGGTGCTGCGCATCCTGCTGTGAAAGGAAAGCACAACATGTTGGAGAAGGAAAATAGACATTAGGGCGAACAATTCTGGCAGAGGAAGGATGGAATGTCCTGTTTCTGTGGGAGAATTTCTGATTGCTAACGGACATGTCAGCAATCCAGCCTTGCTAGCAGGGCCTGAGCAAGCTGCAAGCTGAGCTGTTCAAGGACACTGCTGCAGCTGGAATGGGAGGAAGAAGGGAGCAAGATAAGCAGCTCCTGGCTGTGGGATGCAGGAGCTGAAGATGGTTAGAGGTGGAGAACAATGATTGGGGCATTTTATGATTGATATGTTAATAACCAATTCTATTGTGTGTAAGGTGGGCTAGTAACTGTAGTTAACCAGTGATAAGTGGGCACTTATAATAGGTGTGTATAGAAGAATCACTTTTGTAAATAATAAAGTGAGTCACGAGATATTCAAGAAGATGATAATGACGTCGCCTCTTTGTACACGAACTCCCGCATGTTTCCATTCCAGTTTGGTCTCTAGCCCTGTGGATTGAGAGCAGAGCTGAGTTGGGATAAATTAGTTTACATTCACTTCAGGATATTAACTGTGACAGCTGGAAAATGTTGGATCGTTTATGGCTACAACAGGAGGGATGCAGTGACCCATCACTGGCAGCAGTTTTGGGGGTGTTTAGTCCCTTGTTCCCTCCCATCCATGGGAGTAGGGGATGCAAACTTGGTGGTTTGCTTGGCAGATTTACTCTCTCTACTTGTTTGCTCTGTGCCCTGTTGCTTTAACAGGCACCAGAGTGATCCAAGTTCCTCAGGGTGTCCCATCCTGCCAAATCCTTTGCAAGAGGAGGGCTGTGGTATCTCCCACTGTTTGGAACAGGCAACTCCTGGTGTGCTCAAAGGGTGAGGACTGATGAATGCAGCAAACACACCACCTGCAGGGGAAGCTAAGGACAGAACTAGATTTAAAAACAGGGAAAAATACACAGAGGAAGGCAAGATACGCATCCCTGTGTGCTTTATGTCCAGCTAAGGGCAACTATTCTGATGAAGAAGACTCCTTTCCTCTCTGCTGCTTAGTCTCAGCTGGATTGTTGCTTGTCAGAGGTCACTGCTAGTTGATTACTCTGTTAATAAGAGTTATCCTGCCCCACAGAAAATTCTCCTTGCAATCATCATCTGCTTTTGCCAAAGGTTCTGTGCTTGGACTCACCAATGTGCATCACAGACCCAACAGTGTTTCAAAGTAAGTCTTTATTTTCTGAACTCGCACAAAAACAGCCAAGTCACTTTAAAATACAGAAGCTCAACAGTCTTGAATAATCTATAATAAGTCTTAATTCTTGAGTAATCTATTATAAGTCTGTAATAACGGTCTTGAACCATTTCTTTTTCCAGGATCTCAACTGAGTGAAGAAACCTTCGACCCCAATTGGAAGGGGTGGGATTTGGCAGGACTAATTTTTAAGTTGAGGCCCAAATACACTTTTTAAAGTACAATTTCCTGAAAACATCAACCCAGAAGCTCATTTACAGGTATTAATAACACCTACTCCTTCTTTACTATCAGAACAGACTTGTAAACTATGACAACAGCAGTATGTCACTTCTAACAACAGGGACAAGGAAGTCTTTCTCCTAGCATTTACTAACAAAATTATCTCTTATTTCCACCCTCTAATTTCCTAGGATAATCTCTTATTTCCAGTCTCTTCCCAACAGGCTCTGACTGGCCTCTACAGGATCTGCCAGTTTGCAGGAGAGAAGATTCACTTTCAGTCCAGTTCTCCAGCTGGGTGACAAAGTAACCTGGAAAAATAACACAGGGTCTTTGTTTTCACTGCTGTACAGCACCTTGGCATAGATGATTTTTATATACCACACAATATGTTTCATCGGTTTATACATATCTGACATTATTTCATGTATGAGAACACACTGACGCTGTATATTTGTCACTGCTGAAGACAAACACTTCCATTTTGCCCTGGAAATACAGGCAGAGGAGGAGGAGGTAGGAGAATAAGAGCAGTTTTGCTAAGAAGGGCAAATTTAAAAGTACAAAACAGTCACTCGTTTAAACGAACATGAAATAAATACTAACCTTGAAATAGATTTTGCTTCGTTCCAAAAGGAGTTGCCACTTCAGGGCTGTCTTCTGCTCTTCTGCTAGAGTGAGGAATTCATGGACCTGTCACAGGACACCACAGGACACTCAGCATGTGGTTACAACAACATCTCCACAACAAAGTGATGATGAAAAGAGCATTTTACACAGTTTTATACACCGCTAAGCTATTTTCACGTAGTGTTAGGTGTGATATATGTACCAAGACAGATTAACCAGAACACATTGCAGGGTGTTTGAGAATCAAAGCTAGGGAATTCCAACCTTGTCCTCAGGGAAGTGTGAATTAAAATAAAGTGCTACTTCGAACAAGAGATTCAGTCTCACGTTTAACACAATTCTGATTAGCACTGCTAACTTCTAACTTCTTTGTGCTTAAAAATCTCTGTGTGTATATTCATACATGCAATTTTTAACCAGTCTACACACAAACACAAAGAACATTTACATACATTTTGTCGTGGTTTAACACTTCTCAAGCCTCACAGCTCAATAAGAACAACCTGATTCATTTCTACTCACTGTGCAGCCTAATGTTTCCTCAGCTACACAGTCAGAGAGGTAACAGAAGTGGAGAGTGCCTGTGTGATCTGTCAGATCCACGAGGATGTCAAAGCTGGCAAAGGTTGTCTTTGCCTCTGGAGAGACATCAGTGCAGAAAGTGCAAGTGTTTGACAGTTCATTCACAATAAAGTGACACATTGAGCTGGAAAAAAGAAAGTCATTAATGCATAGATGCAATTCCTTCCTGAGACATTTTGTCCTTGAAAGAATTCATAGACTCATCAAGGTTGGAGGAGACCTCTAAGATCAAGTCCAACCATTAACTTGTCACTGCTGTAACCCCTAAACCCTAAATCATATCCTCCAGTGGCAGATCTTCTAAACTCTTCTATCCATCTGAGACAAAATAGCCTCTTTCTCCTTCACTCTAGGACCAGAAAGAACAAGTCCTTCCCACATCCCACTCCTCTTCCTTGCTACTTGTGGAAGTCTACACACCACAAATCCTCATTACATCCTCCAAAGGAGTTTGATTCCAGAGCTGGACTAACATATTGCTGTCTCATTTGGATCTGGGGAAGCAGGACAAGCAGGTTTTAACACCAATTTAAGGCAGGCAGTTGCTCACCATCTGTTGCGTATAACTTTGGATACATTGTCATCATCAATGTCCAGGGTGGAAATGTAGCCATAAACGATGCCATAGATAGGGTCAAGTTTGCCATCACTCTGGAGAGCCTTTTCTTTTAGCTGTTCCACTGTATAAACATCAACTATAGTCTCCACTAGAAGTTTAAAAGACATATTAAGTGCATCTGAGCAAGAAGTGATTCAGAAGAGGAACAGCAAAAAGGATTTTAAGGGAATAAAAAGGAGAGGATTATGATCTGACAAGCTCCACACACCTTCCTGTTGAAGCAAGCTTAGCATTTGGGGGTGAAAGTAAAACAAAAGAGGATTCAAATCAGGAAAGTAGCTAATTATTAATCTTTGTATACTCCAAAATACTTACACAACACAGACAGAATGTGCCAGACAGGCTGTGGTTGGCACAGTCAACATATAGACACAGAACTGATAAAGTAAGGGGCAAGCCTGGTAACAACAGCCCAAACTTTAAATATTCAGCTAGGCTGCGTCTGATTTTTGTTTCTGTGAACACACAGGGCAAGAACTCTTTCAGCTGCACCATGAAATCACAGTTACGCAAAATCCAAGTGTCTGATCCATGCTTACAGTTGATGGAATCATTTCCCTGCTCCTTCACTGTGTCATGCAGAGCTCCTGACTGGGCACTCTCTTTGATGAAGCTGAAGAGAACATTTGCTTCTGCTGTTTCTGAAGGTGGATTTTGAACAGTTAGCAACAGGTGTTGCATGGAAAAAAACCAGCATCATTATATTTTACTCTTTCTTCTGGTAGCACTGACACAATTGTCTCCTAGAATTAGATGAAGCACTTTTCTCTTTAATTGTTAGTCCTACTTAGAATATATGAAGACTGTTTAAATAAATATAATAAAACAGGTGGAATACAATAAATAAATACAATAAATACAATAAATACAATAAAACAGGTGGAAGCCAAAAGAATTGGTCACTGCATAACGGAGAAGAAGTAGGGTGCTGTGTGAGATAAGCAGGCAGAAGAAATCAGACCTGCAATAGATTAATTCATGCATTCTAGCCTATAATAACTGCTAAAAGCTTCAGCAGCTCTTACCTGGGTTAGTTGTAATGATGGTTTTAGATATCACAGTTGCAGTCATACAGTTCCTAAATTTGTCAAAATTTATTCTCACATCTGATGCAAATATAACTGTGCACAAAAAAACTCTGCGTTACTGCAGGGTAAGTATCATGTTAAGGACTGCAGTAAAAACATAAACCCCAGAGTGTTGTACCTGTTTCTTGTGGGATCCAACTCTGTGCCAGCTGGATAGACTCATTATCCCAACTAAATTAAACAAAAGGGAATGTATCAAAACAGTTTTGAAGCAGCACTTAAACTGTTTAGTACTAAACTACTAAATAATATAGTTACAATTCAATTAGTCAAAGAGGACATGACCCCTTTGTTACACTCACATGCCAAAGAAATTCCATGTATATTCACAGCCAGGCATGATGTTTTCTGTATAACACAGTCCCTATTTTATCCCATCCCAAACAGGATAAGATAAAGATGGCTCAAAATGATTAAGTGCAAATATACCTGGGAAAACGCTTTATTTCAGAGTTATTTCTATCTAAAGCAAATCCCTGTTAAAACAACTGTTTGTCAGCTGAGCCTGTGCTGAGGGCCAGGCTGAGTGCTCAGAGCCCCAGGCGACATGTTCAGCCTCTTTCCAACACTGGAATCTCTGTAACTGGGTGATGAGACTGGAGTGAGGTCAGTGGTATGCCTCAAAAATGGTAATTTCATGGTAGGTCCCTTGATAAAATCTCATCCCATTCCTAAATTTGGATGGCAGAATAGTGCCAGAGCACAGACTGGTTCTGGTGGGGTTTTCCTTAATCCTTGGAAAAAGATTTCAGGTATTTTCTTTCCATCTCACATTGCTCAGCCACCTCTTCACTGCTGGGCTCTGAAATCCCCTCCTGACAACGCTGTTGCTCAAGTAGCAGAACTGAAACAAGTGCTGGAGGTGCTGCTCCAAATTAACAGTAATTAAAATATTTGAACACTTCTTGCAAACTATTTCAGCCTATTTCCACTCCACTTGTTACTTCTGCTTGGCTTTAATAATGGATCAGGCTGTTCTTTTCCCCTCCCAGTTTGGGGAAGAAACACAGAGCCTTTGCAGCTGGTTTTAAATGCCATTTCCTGAATTAGTTCAAATGTCCACATTAGAAAAAAATTAACTATTGGGATCTAAGCTGCATTTTGGCCTTTCTGAGCCATCAGGCTGTCAGCAAGGCATAAAACCACACAATTTATGTAAGGCCACTCTTAATGAATCTCTTTTTTAGTCTCTGTTCAGTGTTCATTGCTGCCTTATCTCGGTTGCTCTGTTTAAATCAAAAGACAGTGTTATACCAGGATGGATTACCGTAAATTTATTTATCTACTCTTGCATTAATCTGTGTCTTTTAGCGAATCAAAAAGCATTTTACCATACAATTGGGAAAGACCTCTCTGTTTCATCATACAGCTTCACTTCACACCTCTGGCCTTTTCTTTTGTCTGAAGTCATGAAGTACTTTGGCTCCCCAACCTTTAAGAAGAAAGAGAGTCACTTCACCTCTACTACGTGCTTAGGAGAATAAAAGTGATACCCTAGAAGAGGTAGAAAAGGGAAAAAAAACCCCTGTAGTCCACGAAAAATGTAGATCACTTAATTTCCCCCTGATGTTGTTGATAAAACTCTCACTCAGCTAAGGGATTGCCAACCTGAACGAACCACCCCACTGGGGCCTGTTCGCTGTGAGGCCCCAAATCATTCTTCACACTGAAGGCAATGAGGTTACTCATGGTGTAGTAGAGAAATACTACTGTGTAGTACTCCTTGACTTACTGACATGACAGCTGCAAGCACGTTGAGAACTCTCCCATTGAGGCTTTGCCCATTTGCAACGATGTCACCCAGGGAATAGTAATCCTGAGGGTCCTTGACGGGCAGATGCAGCAAAGAAAGGAGTCTGGTGTCTGTTTCATAGCATGAAGATGTTTTGACCACGGAATGATTTTCACTGAGCAATAATTTGTAGCAACTAGAAGTATGCACAGAGCAAATCACATCAATCTACATTGCATGCACCAATATATCAGCAGTGCAAATGTTCATTGAATTCACTTGACAAAATATCTTCACTCCTATATTATTTTTCCTAAAGATATGGAAAATTTTATAGACTTTACTCAAAGAATGAAGTTTACTCTGTTTAGTTACAAAGAACATTATTGCTTTATAACCTTCATTAACTGAGAAATATCTTCTCCATTGAGATTACTTGACCAGACATGGCTGAGCACAGAGAGGAAGGTACAGCTACACAAGAGGATTAACCCCAGATATCTCTCCCAATTTCGTGTTGCTGCAACAGGCTGGAAACTAAAACAAGTGTTAACATTGATCTTTCTGGAAAGAACTCCAGCTCTGTGCTTTAAACTTACCTAGGAGTCACCGGGTTGAATTTTTCTTCCCTTTCTGCTTCCTTTGACTGAACTAAAGGATTTTCAATTGTAACTAAAATAAAACATAGAGAAGCAATGTTAGAAAGTTGATTATAGATACACAGAGAGATGACTTTAAAAATGAGTTTTCAATGTTGAGTTTCAAGACTGAGTTTTTGTGTGTACCCTCTGCCTGGTCACAAGTTTTACCCTAACAGCCATGGGCAGTAAAGTTAACTTAAATCTCATACTGTATATAAATACAAGATTTTTGCTGTGGTTTCTGAACAATTGTAGTCATGTCTAGGACAAAGTGAAGACAAACACCAATATGCTTTACAGAGTTTGGTTTTTGTCATTTCTAAAATCTCAATAAAGTGTAAGACTAACTCCAGGCCAGTTCTGAGCGGATGCGCTCCATGGGTTTGTGTCTGGTCTTTTTGTTGTCGTATTTGCTGATTTTGAGTTTAAACCCTCAAAATCTTACTCCTTTCCTCTTTATACTTACCATAACTGAACAATTTCTTTCCATTTAGGCCATTTTTTGAGTCCTCAGTGAAAAACAGAGCAAAGCCACCAACACATAACACTCATTCACATGCAAACAGAAACGTGTTAAGAATAAACTCTGACTTACCACATTCACCAACTCTGAAACTTTCTGAGAGGGATCTGATATACTCCTCTCTGCCCCAAGACTGGACATTTATGAAGTAAGTAGGTGAATCACGAATAGTGAAACTGAAGGTGTATCTGTCCACCCCAATATCTGCAAAAATAAACAGTAATATTACAGCTCCTTCATTTATACCTTGAATATGTGTATAAAAACTGCTATTTCCAGGCTTTCCTGGGTTTTGGCATGGATTTCTTCCCACTAGAGGTCAGCAGGCACTGAGGGTGTTGGAAATGAGCTATGACTCCTTCAGTGGTTGTACCTGTTCCTCCTACTCACATCACATAACTTTAGGCAGGACCATATGAACTTACAGATGGAACACCAGAGAAGTTAAAGTACCATCTGATGTGACACTTAGGGCATGGGCAAACACATAAACAGGGATAATGTACACACAAACAGGGATAATGTACACATAAACAGGGATAATGTGTCCATGCAGCCCAAACCCTGTGGTAGGTAGGCTGACCCCGTGTAGGAGCTCACTGTGCTGATTTCCAAGGCTGCAGTGGCACTGCCAAGGTAGCACCAAGGGGTTAGCTCAATAAACAAAGTGTTTCCAATGTAGGGGAATGTTCATATGCAGGGACTTCTCCAGCAGCTGATTAACAAAGCTTCCATGGATCACCCAAGGATCACCCAGGATCACCCAGTATTCTGCAATATGTTGTTATTATCAAGGAAAACTTAGAGTGATTCACACACAGTAACCAGCATCTGATCGCAGTTCCATGGAGGCATAAATACACCACCAAATTTTCAAGCTCTGTGGAACAATTTCTGGTGATGACAATGTTGATTTCCTCCTAAAAATTCACCACTTGAGCAGATCTGCACGAGCAAGTGTCAACAGAGTAGCTGAGTAGTTCACCCAGAGCTGGGATGGCTCTCCAGTTAGGAGATGCTTCCTAACCAAACCTGAGTGTAGATATGTCATTTCAATTTCCAACTAACAGTGTATTAACAACCTATTCTTCTCATTTTTTCTTTAGGAGTATATGATAAGATGACACTGATGCTACTCAAGCCAGAAATCATTGTGCTGCTCCTCAAGACATCTCCTGAACATTTCTGTTTTAAGGGACAATGAATCTGAAGGGACCAGATCAACTCCAGCAGTATTTATGGCAGAGTGGGTTCATACTGATCCCATCTTCAAAGCCTCAAACACTTCCCTGATGGAGCTTTTCCAGTTTCTAATTGATATGGTTTAGCCAAGCTAATGCTGCTCTTTCATCTTGACTCTCAAGCACAGATAATATTTGTGTGCATTTTTATTCTGTCCATTTTACACTGAGGAATCTGTTTGTCATTTAGACATGGATTTCAGTCATTTAGACATGGATTTCAGTCATCTCTGCCAAATTACACCATGGAGGAAACTGTAGAAAAAAGGAGTTAAAAGGAACTGTACTTTTTCTGTCTGGAAAGCTTCTGACATCTGTTTTCCCAATAACCACCCCGATTACATTCTGAAAAATAAAGAGATTAGAGAATACAAGTATTAAACACAGATGGAGATGATGAATTAGATTTCATGGAATTATACTCTACTGATGATAATAAGCATATTTCTGACTGGTAATGATTTTAATCTATTTATTCCACATTTCCATATGAACTAAAGACTCAAACATAAACACTCAAGTTTACTTTCAGGAAAAAACAGAGGCTAATAAAAATATTAAAAGAAACACATCTGGTTCTGGTTGCAAAAACAATGGGAGGACAAGAGTTCACCCAAAACCTTCCCAGTTTTGGCTGTTCTACAGCAATCTCTCCTCAGGTAGGCAGCAGTGTTGTTTCATGCTCCCTGCACAGGTCTCAGATCTCCTTAAATGCACCGTGAAAAGTCTGAACAGGATTTATTTCACAGTTAAACATCCAAGGATTTCCCTGGCTGTCAGCACCGTGAGGCACACATATGTACAGTTAGCCTGTCCTCATCTAAGCAACCTAAACTCCTACAGGTGCCTCTTCCTTCTCTCAGCCCACTGCAAAGGGAGCCGAGGCAAGGAACTATTTTGATGATTCAAACCAAGATCAATCTTATTCTGCTTTGCTGAACCTCTATTATGTAGAAGCACCCCAGTCTTACTTGTCATATCTACTGGGAGCGAACACACAGAAAGATGTAGATACAGACAAAGGTATATATATTATAATAGTAAATAGTTGTGTGGTGGGTTCTTTTAAAGAAGAAGGTGATCTTCAGTGTGAGAGAAGAGTATTTGCAGTGCTAGTTTGGGATTTAAGAGGTAGGCAAGGAAAGTCAGACTGGACCAAGTTCTGGAAAGAGAGACTGACACTGCAAGGTCCTTCAAAACATGAAGCATCTCATATGTCTTCCACGTCATAGAATCATGGAATGGTTTGGGTTGGAGGGAACTTAGTTCACCTCACCCCCCCCCCTGCCATGAGCAGGGACACCTTCCACTAGCCCAGGTTGCTCCAAGCCCTGTCCAACCTGGCCTGGAATGCTGCCAGGGATGGGGCAGCCAAAGCTTCTCCCTAAGTGCCCTTCTCACAGTACTCATTCCAGCAGAATACCAGGGTCAAGGAACAACTTAATAATCCACCCAGGATTAATTTTGCACTTATTCACACAGCAATGTGACCTCCCTGACTTCACTGCAACAATGCTGATGGCTCAAAGATTAGGTCTCCAGTTTCCAGTTCACTTGCAATCACTAGATGGAGCAAGATAACTGCCTTATCCTGCAGTGAGGGAGATGAACTCAGCAAGAGATGTGTGTACAACAGTGTGATATGCTACTTCCCTCATCCTAACTGATTAAATTCTCTCCACAGCATGTGGAGATTTAGATTAGCATTTTATTTGTCTATTTTGGGGTTTGTTTCTTAATAAAACCAATTCAATTAAATCATAGTCCAACATTCCCTGAACCTCACCACCAGCCAAAAGATCTGACATTTAGGATGACTCCTTACAGGAATTCAGCTGATGTAAATCTACACTTTACAAAAGAGATTTCCTATGTCTCTACTGCGAATTTAGGAGGAATTCTTTCACGGAAAGGGCTCCCAGGCATTGGAGCTGCCCAGGGAGATGGTGGAGTCACCATCCCTGGAGGTGTTCAGGGAAGGACTGGATGTGGCACTCAGTGCTCTGGGCTAGTTGAAAAGGTTGTGATGGGTCACAGGTTAGACCATCAAGTCTTGGAGGTATTTTCTGTGAAATGCTTTTACCTCTCTCTCCTATTAGCACTAAGCCTGCACAGGAGGAAGTGAGCTGGCTGGAAACTATTTTGGAAGAGGGGGAAAAAAGAGGGAAGAAAAACTTCCAGAGATCATTTCCTTGATCAGCAACTACCCAAGCACTGGTTCCACCACGGGAGGAGGAGCAGACACAGCCCTAAGGCTGTGCTGCCAGTTTTGGCACAGCAGTGCTTAAGGCCACTTAGCCAAACCATGAACATGCTGCAGGCCTTAACACTCTGATCTCTTGCACGTTTCAAACTAAAAAACTATGACATTTGTATACTTTGAATGGTGTGTGCTCAGCTGCTTTAATGCCCTGTCCTAAAACACCTTGGAGAGCAAAGAATGAAAAACAGCTTCTCAGACTTATTTTTCACTCAACCATCTGAAACCTAAAAGACAACAATACTGAGTGTTGCAGCATACTCCCCTGTCCAGCTCTTACTCCAGACTCTCCTGTCCCCCCACAAGCATAACTCTGAGCTCCTTATAAACAAGCAGCCTCAAAACAGCAGCCCAGAAAGGCAACCCTGTCCTGGGCTCATCCCAGGCAGCAGGTGTGGGGGATTGTGCCCCTCTGCCCTGCTCAGGTGAGACCTCACCCACAGTGCTGCCTCCAGCTCTGGGGCACCAGCACAGGAAGGACATGCAGCTCTTGGAGCAAGTTAAGAGGAGGCCAAGGACATGAGAGAGATGGAGCATTTCTGCTATGAGGAAAGGGTGAGAGAGTTGGGATTGTTCAGCATGGAGAAGAGAAGCTTTGGGGTGATCTCACCGAGGCCTTGCAGTGCCTGAAGGAGCTACAGGAAAGATGGAGAGAGACCATTGACAAGGAATGGAGTGACAGGACTGAGGGAATGGCTTCCCATTGCCAGAGGGCAGAGATAGATGGGATATTGGGAAGGAATTCCTCCCTGTGAGGGTGCTGAGGCACTGGCACAGGTTGCACAGAGAAGCTGTGGCTGCTCCGTCCCTGGGAGTGTTCCAGGCCAGGTTGGATGGGGCTTGGAGCAACCTGGGCTGGTGGAAGGTGTCCCTGCCCATGGCAGGGGGTGGGACTGGATGATCTTTAAGGGCCTTCCAACCCAAACCATTCCATGATTCTATCACAACCTGCTTTTTATCCCAAAGAAGCAAAACCAATCCTATCTGACATGCAACTGTGAGATTTTTGTCTAGTTGAAACACCATGAAAGAAGAGTTCTGTGTGCACAACACAGGCCTATGGTATTAGCTCAGAGGGACTGAGCATACCAGGATTAGACCTTCCATGTCATGAAAGACCATTGAGGGTCACAGATGCATTGTGACAGCATAATGCTGACTCTGTCATGCCATTAATAATGTCCATCCTAATTCAGCATCTGATAGTCTCAGGCATGGAATTGTCCAGCCAATACCTCTAGCTGTGGTACCTACAGACTGTGGACAAGAGCAGCATCAGTTTTCCTTTGGCTGGTTTGCACACAAAGGAGGGAAGGTCCTTTCTGTCTCCCAATTACACTAATGCTATGAGTGTCTAAATGCACATCAATTACATAATTTTGCAGTAATATAATCCCCTCAGATACAGTTTCACCTGAGAACAAAAGGAACATGTCTATGAAACTTACAGGACGAGCAAGGTTTGGGTGCAGATCTGAAAGTGCAACAAAGTCTCGTGCTGGGCTGGAATAAGCCATTCTTTAGCTGAAACCTGAGAGAACTTGATTTAAATGTCTTTAAAATCTAAACACATCACTTAAGACCATTCATAGTGAAAAGTACACATTGTTTTTTAACACAGATGTTTTGACCTAATAGCAGCTGTTTGTAATTAAAAGCATTTCAGGCCACCTGAAGGAGACAATTCCTTATTGTTTGGGTTTGGCAATGGAAGTTTTGTGACTGTTCTACCTATGCTTCTCAAATGAAGGGTTGTGATTTGTGTTTATTTATTATTCAGCACTAATGACTCCATTAGCATAAACCTCTGCAAAATATTTACCCTCCTTTTCCTCTCTGGGAAGTCCAACTAGGATTTAATGAGGCAGTTTGTATATAAAAGGCAATTTATATGTGAGGAAAGAAATGTATTGGGTTGTAAAGCACCTTAAGTGAGGTTTTAAACTTAATATTAAACTGCTTTAACACCTGAGTTTTTTCTTTCCTCCAAATAGGAAAGTTCTGAATTTATTAGGGTAAAATTGGTGAAAATCAGTTCTTTTCAAGCTACCAACAGGTCCTCCCTAGTGATGCCAAAGTGTGGCTCTGAGTACTTTGTTAGCCCCCCTGAATGCCTCTTATTATCTCATGGGTACCTCAGAGTCATTTAGGTATTTAACTAATCATTGTCATATTCTATTTATGTTGCAATTTTTTGTAAAAGGAACCATCACTTTGTCAAAACTTTAATAACCTTTAATAGGAGAGAACTGACATCTTTCAGAGGATGCCTATTCAATCTTTATAACAAAGTCCTGAATGGCTTTCTACTTGTTTCTTTCACTTTGTGTGAGAATTGTTAACCATTTCATCAGGCATTAGGGTAAAAGTCTGTTGAACTAGAAAAGAAATATTCTACTTTTTAAAGAAGATAAATATTTACCTGAGAACAAAGTGATTTCTCTTTAAGAGCATTTCAAACTAACCTCACAGAGCAACAGCCCAAATTTGCTATACAGACCTCACTGACAAAGCTCCTTCAAACCTGTTCCCATTTCATTAGATGGAAGAATTCACATTTTGTTTCAGTAGGAAAGTCACCTCAGCATCCCTCCAAGGCATAGCAATGTTCTTACCTCAGGAGAAGTTAAATATTGTTAAGTGCTGTAGTTCACACCAGCTGAGTCAGGTCGAAGGAACAAGCTGGGAAGACAAGTGCCAGAGGAAGATTATAAAGGGAATTCAGCATTTAAAATGGTACAAACCCTGACAGGGGATGCTATGGAAGGCAGCTGCTCTCCTCACATACCCCTCAAGGACCCTCTCAGCCCCTTTATGTACCTATCCCATACCTCTCAGCTCCTTCATGGACCCCCTCAACCCCCTCATGTACATCTTAGCCCATCACAAACCCTCAGCCCCTTCATGGACCCACTCATGTACCACTCAACCCCCTCATGTACTCCTCAGCCCCTCCATGGACCCATCACGTACCCCTCAAGCCCTTCGTGGAACCCTCAACTCCCTTCAGATACCCCTCACATACCCCCCAACCCCTGCACGTACCCCCTCATCCCCCTCCTGTACCCCTTAGACCCTCAAACACACCTCAGCACTGTCACATATCTCTCAACCCACCGTGTACCCCTCGACCCCCAGGGACCCCCTCAGGGACACAAAATGGCGCCAAAGCCACAGCAGGAAAAGCCTCACACCCTGAGCGTGACCTTCTCTCGGGGCCAGCACAGGCACCAGGGGAGGGTATCCCACCCAAACACTCAGCACCACCAGTGGGGCTCGAGGCTCTGCACTTGAGAAATGGAGCTTGGTATTTTATAGAAAAAATTCTTTACTGTGAGGCACTGGCACAGGCTGCCCAGAGAAGTTGTGGAAACCCCATCCCTGGCAGGGTTCAAGGCCAGGTTGGATGGAGCTTTGAGCAACCTTGTCTAGTGGGAGGTGTCCCTGCCCATAGTGGGAGGGTGGAACTCCATGAGCTTTAATGACCCTCCCAACCCAAACCATCCTGTGATTCCATGACTTAAAGCACCATCCCAGGAGTATAAATCAGGTTTATTCCACACTTATAACTGCGCAAAACTCCAGCAAAACAAAGCAAATTCCAGAAAGCTCTGGAGAAACCATTCCCCTGCTTCATGTATCTTTCCTTGTGGTATCTCTAAGGGACAAAAATTGCAGCCTGCATTTTGTAAATTAATTCAAATCTATGGTTTCAGATATTATTTGCATTGATTTGCACCCAGCAGTGCCTGAGTTTTCAGTCCCTACAGAAGGCTGAATTGAGCCATTTTGTCTATTGATATTGAATATAAAATTATTTTTATCAAATCAATACCCTTCACTTCTGCATGATAAAATAACTTTAATCCTGATAAGTAATTTTCTACCCTCAATGTCATGAGCATGGAAGTTTTTAGCGCAGCCTGACAAATTCTCTGTGACTGTGTTACAGGATCTTTCATTCCTTCAATTAAACAGCTGAAAGTGCATACCACCTGTGCTCTCCTATTTGTTGTGTCCCTAAAGTCCATGCTGATGACAAATGCAATGCCAGGGGACTGACAGCCTCAGTGGGTTTGGTTTTAGGTCACCATATATACAGTAGGACCCATGGAGCCAACTTTGAAGGTTTGAAGGCTCCTGCAAACAGATTGAAGTGTTTTTTTGTTAGTTCTGTTGGTTTAGTTACCTCAAGCTAATGAACAAGAAGATAATGAGCATAAGAGATCTTTATGGAATGGGAAGGAGATCTTGTCACTGGCTGGAAAATGCTGGCAAAGGTGAAAGTCTCATTCTTACAGCCATAACAACAAAGTAGTCACCATGCCTGGAGGTGTTCAAGAATCAATTGGATGTGGCACTTTAGTGCTATGGTCTAACTGGCAAGGTGGGGATCAGTCAAAGTTTGGACTCAATGATCTCAGGGGTATTTTTCAACCTCAGTGAATCTGTGAAGGTAAACCAGGAAAGAAACTGAAATGAGATCTGTCACCACCACTGCAGATGATAAATCAGGATCAAAACCCTATAGGCTTGTAGGAGTTGAGCTTGTCCAGCATCTCAGCAAGGTTTAGTGGGACATAAGTACCTGCTCCAATGGACCTGTGCAGAACTGAGCCAGGATCTTGTGCTGCTGCCCAACATGGTCACCAATTCCATTAGGTTTTGTCCAGGTTGAGCTGCTTTTCTCCCACAGGCACAAAGCACAGGTGAAACCTGACACTGCTGTGTCCCCATGCAGGGCCACAGGCTTTGTTCCCTTTCAAAGCCCCCAGAACAAGGATGCTGTTGTGTGCTGTCCCCAGTGCCTCAATAGACAGCTAATGATGGAGGCTTTGCTTTGTGGTTCAGCTCCACTCCCATCTTCAATGTCCATTTGGAAAACAAGCTTCCTTTTCCTTTCCCATGGTAGCTCCTGCTGGAAGATGTTATCAGAGCCATCAGGACGGGAGGCACAAAGGCAGCTGACGTGGGACCTGAGTTCTTTCCTTCAGAGCTATGACTAGATGCTGAGTTTCTACCTTGCAGACACTGAGCCAAGAGCTCATCTGATGGACATACCTATCTCAGGTGATGCTGTGAGTTCTGCCACTCACACAGCACGTGGCACATCAGGATGTGGGCAGTGATTTGTACTCCTCTGTGTTGCTGTAACCAAATAACATCTTTTTTGGTGCATATAACAAATGCCTAACCTGGATGTCTATTGCTTATTTATAATGTCAACTGATTCTCCCAGTAAGGAATTTTTAATACAAACACTGAAGAGTGTCTGCAAAAACAAAAGTTACTCAACTGGTACTTCATAGAATCATAATATCATAGAATTTTAGGCATTGAAATGGACTTCAGAGATCACCCAGTCCCAACCCCCTGCCCTGGACAGGAACATCTCCCACCAGAGCAGGTTGCTCAAGGCTTTATCCAACCTGGAATGAACAATGCCAGGGTTGGGGCAGTGTTCTGAGTAAAGCCAGTACTTGGCTTTACTCGAAGTTTCCCCCTCAACTGACCTCAAAGTGGTCTCTAAAAGAGATCAGTATCGTAATCTCCCTTTGACAACTGCAAAAACAGAGGCAAGAGAAAGGCCAGAAGCAGTTTCCTGATGGCCTAACACTACACAGGACCTGCTCCCATCTCCAGCCACAGCACACAGCAGTATTAACTCAGGATTTTTCTGATCTGGTGCTTAATCCCTGAAAGCTCCAAGTGATTTTCCCTCTACAGCACTTCAGCAGCACTCAGCACTCTGCTGGATTCAATCTGTGATTGGCAGAGACTTCCTATACACTGCTGCAAATTGCCCAGTCTCTGCTCATTAGGCTTTGATGAATAGATTTATTTAAATGACAGCCATTGGCATGGGTGAGGAGTGCAAATGCCATTTGGTAACTCACTTGAGCAATTAGTTACATGACCTTCAGTCCTGTCTGCTTTCAGGGGAAAAGAGGCCAGTACTAGCAGAGACATTTCAGAAATAATTTTCAAAAGTATCTTCCAAACCAGAGCAATGTAAAAATCACCCTGTGAGTTTTCTCCTGCCCACAGCATTTACTGAGAGGCCTCATTCAATACTTATACATTCTCAGGACCGAAAGAATTGGTAAAATCGGAAGGGCAGACCTGTAATTTTATGTAATTGGCCTGACTGAATGCATTAAAAGCAGAAAATTATTAAAGGTATTCAGTGCTCAGTGGCATTGGCTGATACCTGAACTGGCTGATTGCTGATGGAGTAATGATGGACATCTTTAGTAGCAGTAATGCAGGTGCTGATGCAGCCAACAGGTGCTCAGGGATATTTCATCTTAGTTTCTCCCCATCACTGCAGAGAGTCCACCCTGGTTCTCCCCCATCCTGGTCCCCAGCATTGGAGCCATCCCAGTGCTGTTTCACTGGGATTTCCTCACTCTAAGCAGCATTACAACCTTCTGCAGCATGGAAAAACACAGCAACCCAGAGCCTTATTTGAAACTTAACATGAACCATGGCTGGTTCCCACCTAATTTGGGCTAAT